TTTTATTTATTTATTATATTATATATATTTATTTAGGTAATTATTTAGGAAAAATACAAAGTTAAAATAAAAAGGATGTTTTTGTTATCTTAAATGAAGGAATATATTAAAAGAATTAATATTTTATCTATACATCTTTTCATCATTATGGTAATTATATCTTGTTTAGAATCTTTCATTGGGATGTAGTTCAAGTGTTTAATTAAATTAATTAATGATGCGCGAAAGGAAAACCACTTTGACGAAATTTTTAAAAATATTTGATTTTGTTCGATACTTACTAATTAGTTATTGATACATACATATCTCAATAATAATCAGCAGTGCAAAAATTCTGAATGAAAATAAAGTCTCATTTACTGATAATATCGAATAAACTGTAATTAAATTATTAAGGAAAAATACGAAGTTAAAATAAAAAGGATGTTTTTATTATCTTAAATGAAGGAATATATTACACAGAGTTAATATTTTATCTATACATCTTTTCATCATTATGATAATTATATCTTGTTTAGAATCTTTCATTGGGATGTAGTTCAAGTGTTTAATTAAATTAATTAATGATGCGCGAAAGGAAAACCACTTTGACGAAATTTTTAAAAATATTTGATTTTGTTCGATACTTACTAATTAGTTATCGATACACATATATCTCAATAATCAGCAATGCAAAAATTCTATCGTGAACGGTATCTACAGATTTTGTTAAATGATAAAAAGAATCGAAGATAAAGGTGTGTGAGATTTTTTTCCGACTGTTCAATAACGACTTAACAATATACTTTACACATTTTTGTGTACACATATCGGCAAATTCATGTTTTATCTAATATTCATTTATTAATTGATCAAGATAACACATTTTATATAAAATATCAAGATAACATTAAAAAACATAAACGTCAAAGTACGGTCGATAACGAAGTAAGTACTACTTAAGGAAAGATTAAACCGCGATGGCTTTTAGCGGGACTTGCGTTGTCTTATCACGCAAGGTGCTGATAATAATTATTTATGCGCAAAAGAATCGAGATTAAAATCCGTCTGATAAAACGGACGAAACACAAAATGCAAAGTTAACAACATCATTCCTCTTAAAATAAAAGTTAATTACAACGAATCGATGCAAGTGAGATTTCACAAATTAAATCTTACGCAGTTCAATGACTTCGCTTTGTTTTTTTATATCGATACTTTCTTTTGGAGATCGTGCCTGTACTTGTATTTATTTCAAAGTTTCCTTTTTAAACATATTAGGAAAGTCTCGGAGGGAACTCGAGAACAGCAATGCTTGGAACTGTATCACCGGCTAATATACACATAGAAGAGACGCTTGCAACACTCCGATACGCTTGTCAAGCTCGAGCTATTGTTAATCGTGTTCGAATTAATGAAGATCCGCATGAGAAATTAATCCGGTAATATATGTTTTATAAATGGATAACTAATAATTTGTACAGATTATCATAGTCAATGTAGATTTCCCCAATGGATTAATATAGATTAAATGGAAAGGAAATGCTTCGGAGCAGAGAAACAAAAGAACATCATCAAAATACTACCGACACAATTTTTCTCTAGTTTATTATAAGGCTAACCAAAGTTTTTAATTTTAAGTAAAATTTCGTTCCTCCCCTTTTAGGGAATTGAAAGCGGAAGTATTGCGATTACGTGGTGTTCGTGAAGGGTACGAAAAGCAACTTGGAATTTTCCCACATCGCCTCCTCGACACCGTCGAACCGATTAACCAAAGTAACGATGAAATTAAACAGAAACAACAAGAGATTGATAAACTGAGGCATCAATTAAAGAAGACCGAGGAACAGCTTGTGACTTCTCAAATGTAAGTAGACGACAATGTTAGCTGCTTCAAATGCTAGTTGCAATCATTTGGAATGATCAAGGTTTTTTCAATAAGCAATTACCTAATCGTTATTAACGTAATATGTCTCTTATGATATATAATTATTTCATACGCCAGAAGCAGATCGGAGGATATATTCACTGATTGAAGATTTGAATATTTAGTTATATGTAATTGCAGGACTTGGCAAATGAAATTACGGGATACCGAGGAAAAGAAAAATTCTGAAATAAAGTACTTACGTCGCTGTGGTATCGCTATCGACTTCGATTTTCGTCAGAAGGATAAGCAACCTTGTCTTATAAATCTCGCGGCCGATCCTATGTTATCTGGTACACTTTTGTATCTCATTCCTCCAGGATTTGTACGCATCGGAAGAAGTTCTGCTTGTCAGAGCTTTTCCGAACATTTGGATATCATGTTGGATGGACCACTGGTTAGGCCTTTACACTGGTTAGTTATTGGATTGGTTGCGGTTTAGTGACTTGAAGAGATGTGTTTGTTAGGTTTATTCGGGTTTATCGCCTGTGTTCATCGTCTTCCTCAATTCCCCGTTTTTTAGCTTGATGCTTATGAATTGTGTTGCAGGAAAATGTTTTACTTTGTGTCTTTGTTTCTCTTCTATTTGTCTCTTAACAATGCATGCTCCTCGTAGCCTCTCCTCACGGTCTATTAAACCTACTTAACGTTATCTAAAATAATACTTTAATTAATCTGTTTGGTCAAAAAGAATTTGCATGGCAGTTTTTCATTATTATTACACAGTGTAATAATTCCCAAGCGATTTCAAATTTTGTACTTTCATCATATTTATGAGCTAAGCACTCGCATTGAACAGAAAGATGTATGACATACTAAAAAGTTTTTTATATACCAATTATATATACATATTTTAGTGTAAGTTATTTTAATGATTCTTTTATCGATTTTTTTATACGTTTAACAGTACTATTGAAAATAGTAATGGGAAACTTATATTATCGTCAGAAATGGAAGGTGATACGTTCGTGAATGGACAGGTATAACTTATTTTACATGATCCTATTATTATTATCTTATTATTTTATTTATATCATTATTAAATTGTATCATTATTAGGTAGTAACTGGCAAAGTTATTTTAAAACATGGCGATCGATTAGTAATTGGCGGCAATCATTATTTTAAAGTCTCAAATCCATATGATGAACGTAGCAACATACAAATTTCAACACAGGCTGTAGACTATGAATTTGCTCATCAAGAAATTTTGAAAGTGCAAGAAGAAAAGTACGAAGTTTTAATACTCCCTCTTATTCAACAAATAATTATAATTAAAAAGTATTTAACGTTGTGCTATTTTTTATTTAATAGATTAAGGGCAGAACTAGAAGAAAGTAAGCAGAAAGCAATAAAGGAATTAGAAAATGCAAAACGAGAAGTTGAAATGCAATTGGGATCGCAAAAAATATCGTATGAACGTAAAATTGAAATTCTTGGTTCTACAGTTCAAGAGCAGAAGGTTGCATTGGAACAAATTCACCAAAGGAAGAAAGAGTTGGAATTAGAAAAAGAATTGCTTGAAAATGAAGTTGAGGCAAACAATAGGTTGAAACAAATACAATTAGATCAAAAAAGAGTTAATGTTACACCATATAAATCTAATTTTTTACAAGAATTGGAAAGTATTTTAAATGAAAGAACAGCAGATGCTGAATTTGCTCTTAAGATGAAAGCTAGTATAGAAGCAATAGGCGATGGTGGTATTAGTCTACATGAAATGCAAATATTGGTAAGAGAAGCTACTGAACGATGCAGAGAAGTTGGCATTAATTATGTAAGTATCTGTTGCATATAAAATAATAATTAAAAGTACATACTTTTTTAATACAATTTTATTTATCATATTTTAGGAGTTTGATCAACAGCAAACAATTACCAATAAAAGTCTAAAACCAGTAATTCGTATACGTAACAAAGATAGTATGAAAGAGACATTTTGGCAGCCAATGCGATTTTTAGATTGGGTTCATCGTTTACGAGATTATGACATAGAAGATTCAATAAAGGAACTATGTGCATCAGAAGAAACTTGGGAACCCTATGAAAATACGGAAACTTTTGAAGATTCCTTAAATAATAGCCGAATTTCAATAAATATGACGCCAGTCAAAAAGCATTTGAACGAGAGTTTACAACAACTCTCATTAGATACATCTGTACTTGGAAGTACATTAATTAACCAAACGTTTGATATTTCCAAAGATCATGAAACCATAAATACATGTCTTATTCAAATGGAACTTGCTACAAAAACTTTACGTAAATTATATAGTAAAAATGGTGGAATTCAGTCGGTTATGGAATCACTTGATAATATGCAAAGTATAATTTCTAGCTTACGTGAAACTTTAGAAATAGAGGACACAAATAAATATTCCAATGAAAGTATAATTTCTAACCAGAATTTTAGTGGTAGTGTAATAGAAAGTTTAGACACAATTTCCAAAAATATAAAATTTGTTTCAACAACAAAATCTACTTTACGTAATAATGCTAAAGGTTTTGACAGGAAAAGTGTAAGATTTACAGATAAATTAAAACAAGATTTAACTTAGTAACAAAAAATTAACTTCATGTAATTAAATAAGATTGCTATTTAGAGAGAGACCTAAAACGTACATTAATAATATACTGTAAAGATATTAAATGGAGTAAAAAAATATGTTTAGCTATATTCATATGTAAATGTATCATTTTATTTCTTATTACTCATAAGCACTCGTAATATTTATACAGACACATCTATACAAAATATGAATATTTAATTAAATTTGTATAAGATTTGTAAAATTAGAATAATATTACTGAAACAAAATTGAAGTAAGCGTTTTTTAGATAAATTAATGCTAAACTAATGAAATGTCATACAAGTGTGTTAAGTTGAATTCTTATATACAGTTAATCAAAATAATCCTCAATATCAATATCAGGATTTAGTAAATCTTCTCCATAAATACTTAAATCTAATTGATTAAGTATTAAATTTTCGCACATTTCTTCTAAGTCAGTATCTCCAATTAATACTGCTCCTTGCATTTTGCTATCTTTCAGTATAAGTTTTATGTATTCTGTTCCTTTAGTCATTCGTAATAATATCTCATAGTTATCTAACTTTTGTCCATTGTACAAACCAAGTAAAACTACCTTATAGCCAAAAAATTTAGTTACATGAGTGAAAAATTCGAAACAAAAATCTTGCAAGAACTCTTCATTTTTTAACTTAGAAACCATCGATTTTGCAACATATTGACCCATTTGATGTGCCTGAGTCCACAGTCTCATTTGAAACCAATGTCTTGCTAATTCCCACCCTGCACTACATACATCTCCAGCAGCATATATATCTTGTTTCGAAGTTTCCAATTTCCAATCTACTAATAGCCCCCCATCTCCACTTTTTTTTATATCTTCCAAACCTATTATGTCAGAATTTGGTATTACACCTGTTGCTGATACAATAAAGTCACAGCCAATAATTTTCTTATTTGTTAATTCGATATATATAGGCCATTCTTCTGTAGGATCAAATTCTGTTTGTTCTGATTTGTTAAGAATTTTAATTATCTCACATTCATATTCTATTTGTACTTTTGCAGATTTAAGGAAAATACCTTTTACATCAAAATTATTATGCCAATCTGGACCTAAAGCTGGTCCACCTGTTACAGCTGGAGTATTTGAGATAGTATATTTCATTCTTTTAGTTAAAGAATTAACATTAGTATATATGTGTTTATCAGTTTTGTATACTCTATCCATGAAAAATTCTGCTGCCCCGGGATCAACAAATGTTGCAGAAATATGTTTATCTTTAATTACCCATATCATTTCAACACCATCTACTTCGTTTATAAGTTCAGTAGCAATACCTCCATTTCCAACTATTACAATCCTTCTGGAATTTTTTATTTTTTGAGAAAATTGAAGAACTGATTCTGTGTCTCTTATTCCTAATATAAAATTATTATGTTCTTCTATGAGTTTCGGTTTAGCACCATTACAGAGACATAACATTTTATAGTTTATAATTCTTCCATTTTTGGTTTTCACTTGTTTATTTAAAGAATCTATCTTTATCACAAAATCATTAATGATTTTCAATGAACTATGTGCTTTCATTAAGACTGACATGTCTTTTTCCTCTACATCAAACTGCATTAATGTTTTACCAAGTGGAACCATATTTGTAACTGCTTTTATTAAAGAACTTGCTGTAATTAGGATTATTTGTTCTTTTGGAGCAAGAAAAGTTATACTTTCAGCACAAGATACTCCTGCTATACCTCCACCTACTATTGCAAATGTACAATTCATTTCTTTTTCATCCATTTTGTATGCTTTATTTGATATTAATATATTATATATATTTTTTTAAATACATGTTAGAAATCAACACATTAATTTTTCCATTCTGAATAATCATAATATCTAAAAGGAACATCATATGTCAGCAAACCATATTCTTTTGCTCTGGTTACTGCTACACGTAAATCTTTGTAAGCCCTTTGACAAAGGCCAGTATAACTGTAAGTAAAAGAGAAACAATGTAATTATATAAATATTCTATAACTTTTGTTAACTTTAAGAAGTTTACTTACTTATAACTTAAAATTCTTCCATCATGTTCAGAAATAAATTGTTTTATTAAATCAATATTACGATAATCCAGAATTAGATATTCATCCCTGCATATTGGACATGGACTACCAGTAGAAATTACACCACTCCTCTAATAAATTTTTAGAATTATTTTAATAAATTAATTAACAAATATATTTTATATATTTTCTTAAAAACACGTACAATACAAGTTCTTCGTGTTTTCTGTGGGGGAATTTGACCTTTGTAATTTCGTCTATAAAATTTCCAAACAGGATATTCTCCATAGGTTTTTTTATAAGCTAATACAAGAAATTAATTATGATAATTAAAGTTATATTAAAACAAAACTCATGTTATATAATTACATACCACTACTTTTTAGGTATTTTATGCTAATTTCTACAGGAATAATTGTTGTTCTATCTTTTGAAATAGGAATCTCTTTATCGTTTTGGTCTACAATTGTATCATGTATAAATTTCACGGGTATAACCTATAAAATTTTTCAAAACATTAAATCACTTTCAATAATGATTATTTTTTTTCTGATTCTTACTTTTGGAGTTAAATTAAGTCGAAAAAGAGATGTAACTAATTTATTCAATATTAGTGACATTTTAATCGCAAAAGTTCCTAACTATATTGAAAGTTATATCGCTGAATTATAACGATTAATTAAGAACCGGAATCTGAGATGTTCAAACACAATGTATTTTAACAATTATCTTAATACTTACAAATTTATTAAGTTTATTACAATAAATTTATATTTTGTATTTTCATGATTATTTATTTTAATTTTTTTAAAATATTTAAAACAGTTTGATATTAGTTATTAGTACTGAAAGTATATTTTAGAAGATTAAGTTACGTAAATTTTTTTAAGTGTAAAAATAATTTTTTTTATTTTGAAAGAAATATGTAATATAATTCTTGTTAATTATTATTAAAATTTATTTGAGGAAGTTATTGATTTGACTAAATATTATTCATGCTTCATATTGAAAGTTAGTCAGAAAATGTATTGAATATTTTATAAAATGTGTATATTTAAGTTATATTTTATTTTTAACTAAATTATGTATTTTTTGTATTTAATTATTTTAAGTATTTATAATTTCAATAGATTTTATTAAATGAAACATACTTACGTTTGACTCTCTTATAAAAAAATAGAACATTTCCGGTTTGGGCGTAACAGCAGCTTCTACGTAGTTAGGTGAGAATAATTTTACTTCAGTTAAAAGTAGCTTTTTTTTTTTATTGTTCAACAAGATATTACAAGAAAAGCAACATAAAGGTAATAAAAATAAAATTTAAACAATGTTTGATTGCAGATGGCAGATGAACAAGAAGATATTTACGGATTTTGGACAATCTTGTAGCATTTGCTGATGCATAGTCTATTTTCATCAGAACGTAGGGCCACGTCGTTCTTGTGTATAGGAAATATTAAATTTCTTATACACATCTGTGAACGTATATTTTCCATGAAAAGGATTTAATTATTTATCAAATGTGAGTGGCTTTTCTGTCGTTGAAAAAAGCCGAAGTATATCTTTTGATTGAGAATAACTAGCTCTCTATCCATTAGATGTTACTATTTGTTTAACAAATTATTACTATACAATTCTGCACATATCTCGTAAAAAATACAATAAAAAATAGAAGGGATTAATATAAAAATATCTAGGTTAAATTAAGGTGAAAGAAATAATGTATTAGTGATACAAGTTGGGAAATTTTATTGGGATCGTCTGATTTTTATGTTAGAAATTGCATACAAGCTATTTACTATATTTTAAACATGCGGAAGTGATAATTGGATATTATTTGAATTATTAAAAGTGTTAGTGATTGCATAATAGTAAAGAAAAATAATTTTGGTAAAATTTTAATTTGGCACAAATGGATAATCATGGTGTGCTATAAATAGCAGTTATTTGGTGATGTCAAGTGAATAGGGTGGGGTCACTACGCTCATTGGTTAACGTTAAAGAGAATTCAAAACGCGCGCGTGATTGGTTGGTTGTGTAACCATCCTGGGTGGGATATGCGCAGAGATATTGCGCAGAAGAAGACTCGCCAGTTGACCATCAAGTGATCGCCGTTGACTGAGAAGCGTATATTTTCAATTGATAGTTTTCCTATTTGTAGCTTCTGTTACTTAATTTCAATATCTAAAGTTACTTTTCATTAGAAAATGAATACAATTATTGAAGCTATAATTGAAGTAGAAAAGATTTAATATAAAAATCTTTTTGAATTGGTATTTGCGATTTTGTGATATAGATGATTTGTATAGAAATGAAAAAGCAATGAGAACAGCAAAGGAACATAATATTATATTTGCGAATATTTATCGGTGAAAATATATTTAGACTTGGGTAATAATCTTTTATCAAAGATTTCGTAGACAGAAAAATCTGTTGGCTATATTTTATGTGCATGAAAAAGATTCAACAATATGGCGGTGTACGTGTACGCTTATCCTTTGAAAAAAAGTACATTACTCGTACCTATTAAAAAAAAACCAAATATCTTTGTGTTTCATTACAGATTTACGTCATGATCCTATGTTTGTACTTCAATATGCATTAAATCGTCAAGAATATCATCAAAATGGTAAGTTAAGTTATTTATTAGAAACCAGTTACTTTCCCCTTTCCTTCACAAATTTTTTGGGAGAGGGCGCCATATACGACAAATTACGACAGACGTAATGGCAGGGGAAAACGGTAGGATCAATAACCTTTGTTCGTTGTATGACCTCATATCCTATTTCTGGCATTGCCAGCTTTTAATGATCATACAATACAAATGTTTATGTTTGACGAAAGTATTTATAAAATTAATTTAATATGCAATATTAAATAATATATGATATTTATATTGAATAACAAAATGGGGAAAGTAAATGATCTTCGCGCTTGTTTCTCATATGAGATAATTTTACGTGATGTTATCTTGATATTTGAATTTTTTTACTTTAATAAATTTTTTTTTACTATTTTAATAAATTCTTACGTAAAATTCGTCTAAAACAACATGTATCTTTATAATTGTTTCTTCAGTAAATGTTAAAGAAATATTAACAACTTTTTTTAAATGTTCAAAAGACAATAATGTAAATTATTGAAATTGATTTAAGTTTCCTTTTTGGTTAAGTCATTCAAATATTATCAAGTCATTTACAGATAAATTAATTTCAATTTAATAGAGATTCAATTTTTTTACTATTATACATAACCTTATAAAAATTAAAAATTTAAATTTTAAAAATATTTTACATGTGCTTTTTCAGCCACGTATAGATCCTCTATCTTTATTGAAATGTCTTAGTGTCTTATTGGGACCAACTGGAGGTATTAAAAGTAAAGAAGAAGTTCATCGATTGGCTAATTTAATGACAAAGTTTTCAAAGAAGCTTGTTTCAAAATGCATTTACATACAAATATTGAAAACTACAAATACTGATTTACTTAGTCAGTAAGTATAAATTTTTTCAGAATACTTCGATTAAATCTTTTATAAAAAAAAAAAATATAATTAATTAACTCTTTGCACTTTGAAGTCGCATGTGATGTGATAAAGAATACAAACTAAAAAAATAATTACAGTGCAAAGAATTAAATATTTATATATGAAGTAAAATTATACAAGTTGCATACTACTGCACATGAATACTTATAATTTGTATAATCATGTGAAATATAAAATGTATGCTAAAGTAAAAATTAGGAACTCAAAACCATTGGACAGTTTTACTAATAAACTGTACTCACTGATGTGGGTTCCATAAGATATTTTTGTAACATATTTTTAAAACAAAATGAATTTATAAAAAATTAGTTTATAATTTATAAAAAAATTAGTTTATAATTTGAACAATTTATTATTTTTCCTTTTGTTTAGATTTATGGGTGCTGGAGGATGGAATCTTATTCATATGTGGCTTACAGATGGCATTCTTGCAAAGAATTGGGCTTTAATTCAAGAGCTTTTAGAACTTTTGTTGTTATGTCCAGTAGACATAGAAAGATTAAAAAGTAACAATTGTCCTAAATTAATAAAAGGTCTATCAAAAGAAGGTAGTCATCAAGGTGTTAGAGTGTTAGCTAGTCGATTGGTTGAACAGTGGTTAAAAATAGTGAAAGGAGAAGCTGCACCAAATTCTGTGCCAGCACAAATCATGACTATTCCAATACAAACTACTGGAGTTCTAGGACAAAGTTTAGTATCTCAATCAACGCAACAACAGTATTCTATTCATTGTGGTATTCAACAAGTCTCGGATTCAGAAAATGCGACAGTTCAAGTGCAAGATTTGCAATTTATTCCAAATTCTACATCAACTATTGCAGTCTCCCACATTCATCAGCAGCAACAGCAACAACAACAGCAGCAGCAACAATCTCAAGAACAGCAACAGATTCAGGAGAGGACAACTGTGCAACCTCTACAATTGCAAGTTGTCAGTAAACCACAGCAAATGCAAATACAGCAATTATCATCACAACAATCAAAAAAGCCAGCATTTGTTGTGGTATCTGCATCTTCACAATCTCCAGTTCCTGTGTATAAAATTACAATTCGTGAAGGCAAACAGATTCTTACAAAAGTGGAGACAGACGCTGCAAATATTAATAGTGTTTTAAATACAAATAGTACAAATGTAGAAGTTAATGGAGATGTTGTGGAGGATGCTCTTCCTGTGAAAAAAACTTCTGAGGAAGTATCTACAGAACTCAGTGATGGTGTAGTCAGTGGTCAAGATTGTGAAAAAGACATTGCACAATCTGAAAAATTAGACCAGGTTTCAAGTGAAGTGAAACAAACTGTAGTAGATTCCACGGATAGTCCTGATGTGGATATTGTTAAAAATAAAGAAAGCAAAGACATTAAAGATCTTAAAGACAATAGTAATAGTGAAAATAGTAAATCTAGTAATAAAGAAAATCGAGACTCTTCTAAAAAAGATGACAAAAAGTCTAGTAGTTCAGACAAGAAGAGTCATCATAGCTCATCTTCATCCTCCAAAAGTTCTTCTAAACATACCTCAAGTTCCAGTTCACATCGTTCTAGTTCCATATCTTACAAATCTAGTAGTCATCGTTCTAGTTCTAGTAGTAGTAGTTCAAAAAGTTCTAGTTCCAAGGATAAGTCTTCCAAGGACAGACATCATTCATCTAATTCATCCAGTAAACATAGTTCTAGTAAAAGTAAATTTGATAAAGAGCGAGAAAAAGAAAAACAGAAAAAGGATCAGGCAGAAAAGGATAAAGCGACATTAGAGAAAGTTCAAGGACAGGCATTAAGTTCAAAATTCGGAAAAATACCTAAAAAGAAGTTGGAAGAAGAAAAATCAGGGGATGCAGCTGTAAGGAAATCATCAACAGATTCTCGGGATAGTTCTAAAGAAAATAAGGCTGATTCAAAAAAAGTTACTGCAGTGCCAGAGAAAAAGAACATTTCTATTTCTATTGAAAGTAGAAAGAATTCTCAAGATTCCACGACACGGCCAAAGACTGTGAAAACATTTAACTCTAAATTCAGGTCAACAGGTTTAGAAGAAGAAGTAAAACCACCACCACCAAGATCAGTAAAGAAACCACATCCCGTTGTTGACAAAAAGACTGTATCACAAAAATTACCTGCCTTAAAAAGGCCATCTCCACTTAGAGAAGCTATACCATCAACAGATAAACGAGCTAAAGTATCATTGGATTCACCAACTACACCTCCAAGTGACGAAAAGAAGGGAGGCATCAAATTAATACCACCAAAACCAAAACGTAAGTATTACATAATGTTCCAAATATTATATTTAAAAATTTCTTTTCACACATAAATATTATGTATATATACTTTTTTTCCAACAAATATTTTAATTCTTAGGGAGAAATATTTTATAAATTTTTATAAATTATTAATGTTCAAAGACTTGAGATAATACATATCCAAAAATTAAAGTTATTATGTAAGAGAATATTGTATATTAAATGTGTAAACATATGTTTTTCTTTCAATGAAGTTTGACACTTAGATGTATACATATTTTAATCAGAAAAATCTAGAATTGATGAAATTATAATTGGTATTATATTAAATCAGTTTATTAAATCATTTTTATGATATGAAAAATCCAAAATATAATAAATATTTAAATGATCTAACTTAAAAATTTTAGTATTACTTTTATGATTTTGATGTAAAAAACATGAATTAAGAAAGAGAAACTACTAACTTGATCTTAATTAGTCTTTGAACAGTAGTTTCTTTTATTGTATGTGCTATTACTAACTTCTTAATATTGAGTTTGCAGGTGGTTGGGTCCAGAAGAAACACAAGCAAATTGTATTCTTTATACTTTAAGCATTGCGCGAACATTAATGTTTTACTTAATTCAACAAAATTTACGTAGATTTCTTATTTATTATTAATTCGCAGTTTCTTTCAGGCATATTATTTTAGTTTATAGTATTTATTAGAATCTTATGCTACTTTTCTTAAAGTTATTAGAATATTATAGAAGGTAAAAGAAAACCCGTATCAATGACCCACGTGGAAGTGGATCGAATGGATTTTTCGTGCTTGCGTCAATAATTAACGTCACATTAGAAGAACGAAGAACATTAGGATTGGCTCTTTCAGCATCGATTTATTTCCTATATTAAGAAGATTTAGCAGGTAATCTTCGATAAAGTATTAATTAAATTATACATATAAATTGTTTGAAAACTAGTGCTATCTAGTAAAAAGTAGAGTCGAATATTTTTCAATAATCAATTCACCGAAAGTAACCGTGCAGTTTTTTTTTTACAAATTATTCGGATAAAAGAAAAAAAGGTGTGTTTTATTATCGATATAATTTTCGAGGTGTGTGTTTTACCGTTCTTCGACGAACGATACATCGATAGAAGTCATGGATATTACTAATCTACCTAGGTAAGGAAACAAACCAACTCTTGTCTGTCCATACTTCTTCCCTTGTACATGTACACCCTATTAAGCATTTAAATAAATTGATCAGAAATCTGGAAATATTTAACTCTTGGGTTTCTGCTATACATCTTGCTCACTGAATGCTTGATAAAGCAAACACTCATACCGTGAGCCCATCCAGATTTCCATCCTCTCGGTGACTAATCGCACAAATTTAAAGTGCAAATAAAGTCAGAACTTAAAATGGTATTATACACTGAATTTTTAAACAATAATAATTATAACGCTTAAAAAATTTATTAGTGTTAGTTCTTAATCAATTACGAGTTTGTTTTTATGAAATTATAACATTTAATCTCCTCTATAGAGAAATCATATTTTTATTTAGTACTTATTTAATGTAATACTCAATACTATAACACCATTTTGAGTTCTGACTTATCGCTACACAAGGGAAAAAATTCTTGTAAATGATATATTATTTTTCAATTTGTCATTGTTTAGTTCACAGTGGATTCAGAGAATGATTCGAATACATTCGTGCGTTCATCAGAGAGAATTGAAATTTGCGGGCGCATAGTCCCAAGATATCCTAAAAGTGAAAAAAATGAGAGAGAGAGAGAGAGAACACGTAAACAAGTGAGAAAGGGAGAGAGGGAGAGAGGGAGAATGTGTGTGAAGTGAGTGAGAAAGAGAAAGAGAAACTGAAAGAAAACGAAAAAGAGTAAACAGAGTATGAATGAGTAGATGGAAAAGCGAAAAAAATATGGCACGATATTCGAAGAAAGTTCGTTAAAAAAAAAAGAATGCAGAATTTCTTGGAACGAAAGCACTTTCGAAAATGCATGAAATACAACGCTGCGTATCGACTTGACGTCCTCGAGCAAGCCGCCCCTTAGGATCAGCGGGCCTCTTCTTACGACAGATAATCGTCTAGTTGCAATGACAACGTCGACATGGCGAAGAAGTCTTTTTCCTTGCCAGTAGACGCGGATTAACAATCGGGTGAAAAGAACGTTACTGGAACAAGAGAAAAATATAAAGAAGAAGGCAGGAAAAACGAAACGTGAATATCTATAATATTGTGCTCGACACTAATTAAAGCAAATTGTTATTCTTTCACAAATTTACTATATTCTTTCAAATGACGCAATTTTCATTGAGTTAAAAACCAATTCAAAGATCGGTGTATCTTTTTACATCAGAACTTTCCGAGTTAAGAATAGTTCGTTTTAATTCGCAAGACTATCGTTAATTATTCGTAGAAGTTCCTCTTCTTTCGATTACAAAGAACTTGTAGTTCGATAAAACAGAGCACGATTTAATTCTCTTATTCAGCTATTCATTTGAAAAAAAAAAGCAAAAAATTTCATTTACTATCAATATATTTAAAAATTTAATAATCCAAATAATTGAGTATCATGGAAAAAATAGCATTTAAAAATCATTTATTTGAATTAGACGCGTAAAGGAGGATGGGTGGGAGTTAACGACGGAGTTGCGCAACAGCGCACTTCTTGGTGTGCTTGGCGGAATACCGAGGCCAATGTTTTTGCGATAGTCTTTATGTCAGCACTCGCGTATGGGGTCAGATTCTGTTTCTCGTAGTAGTTTCATTACGCTCACATAGTATATTAACCATTCAATGTATTTAGGTCCGCACCATTCGTGGATTATGCTTATCATGTGGTATTGAATTTGAAAAAGAAGAAAAATAAAATTTACAATAGTTACACATTATTTAAGTTAATATTAATAAATTCGTTTACCTTTTACATGTCAGAATACGCTTTTTAATGTTTAAAATACGTTTAGAAGAGATATGCATTTTTACAATTTATAGTATACAAAGCATCGCTCTAAAAAAAAACAAATTTTTTTTTATAATGATTTTTATAATCATAATGATTTTTTTATCTATAATGATTTTTATATCAGATAAAAAAAAGAGTTATCCTAAATTTAATGTAAACAGATATAACTTTATCTTTGACTTATACTTTAGTCAAGTCTGAATTATTTGTAATTACATTTATGCTATTATAATATTTACATTTATAGTATTTTATATTTAGTTTCTGATTGCATATCATTAACAATTATATATCCATTTTTATATAAAACAAATTATATATACAGAACCGCGCGTCTTATATAAAGAAGATGAAAATAAGTTTACATTTCTAATGCATTCACATGAGGAATAGAAAACCATCGCTGTTAATGGACTGCGCAAAAGTTTAATAATAATTTTAGATGATACATTAATGTGTACTATTCGATCGGAAAGATCTTTTTTTACAAATGAAACGAAATGTTAACGATGAAAAAAAATGCGTCTCGATTGTTACATATAAGATAATACGTTAAGAATACTCGTACGATTTTAAACATTTTTTAAAACGAAGTAAATGACTCTTGAGGATCAAAGGTTTATGGAAATAAAATTGGAGCCGTCTAATTAAAACCTGCATATTATTCCCCAGTTTACTATTATCACTTTTATCGAATACATTCTAAAAACATTTATATGATTATCAATGCGATTTATTATCGATTTGATATACCGTATATTTTCTTCTGTAATAACTTTTGTTATCATACATTTATTGAATTCCTATTTAACATTAATTAGTGTATATGAACGCAGTCTGATAGTAAACATTTTTTGAACAGAATTCGTATTTCTTACAGCTGTTAGGTATAAATATCAATTTTTGGAATTTGAATTTAAAACATTAATGAAATTTGAGATATATTAAACAGTATTAAATACCAGTCGGATATGCAAAGTATTTGTTTTTATACGTTACCAAAATACATTTATGGAGAAGTAATATTTGATACAACATTTAATGTACTATCTTTTGTATATCTATCATAAAAAAAAACAAACAATTTTTATTTAAATATCTCTTTTACTTTATATTACTTCGAATTGATATTTAATTAATTTTAAAAGGATTTCAAAAAGATTAATTTGAAAAAGATTTTATATCTTGGTAACGAAATACAATTAGTTCTACATTATATAAAAAGACATAAAGATTTATAATTTTATTTAAATTAAGATTTATTTTTCTGATTCTCTATGTTTTTATGATGTTGAAATATCCGATATTAGTATTAATATACAACATAGGTTTAGGTCTTTGTTTCAAGTTTCGTTTAAAATTTTGAATACATGAAGCGATCAAATGGATCAAAAGTAATTGATCATGATCAATTGGTAAATTTATTGATCTGTTGTAGAAATTATTTGAAGATATAGAAGCAAAATTAAACACAAATTTTATCATTGTATAATTCACATTTATGTTTATTAAATCTGTATGACTTCTAATATAATTTTAAAATAGTTCATATTATCAAAAGACAATAATTGTATTTTTGTTGCAGATTCGTAACGGATTCGTTTTACATCAAATATTTATTAAAATATTTACTTTCAGCTCTATCAAGGAACAAGTTGAACTTCTGTCTCTTATGCGACTTTATAGTTATATATATTTTTTACAGGAGTTGCTGCAGATTATATGTAATTAAATTTTGAATAATCGAATAATATAAATGTTTATTTTACAGGATTATTTTAGGAATATCTATCTATGATCTCCGTCTTATTAATTGGAATTAACGAACATAATATGCTAAAATTTGCCTTTTTTTTTGCCGGTGTAGTATCTGGAGTTACTCGACGAAGTACTTTATTACAATTTTTAATAGATTTTTGTATTAGGTATTTAACACAAATGCTTTATAACATTTTATCGATTTCTGGATGTAATTATTAAGACAGTTTTCTCCCAATTTAAAGTGATATGTTTTGATTCATTTTTATATTTTATTTCATCTATAAATTTATTGTGTCTCTTTTTATTTATAGCAATGGTTTTACAAGAAAGCGATATGTTTATGGATGCTTTGACTGCATCTACGAAGAATAAAGAACCAAGGAAAAGGAAGCGAAGAACATCCATTACGAAAGATGGTCCCACGGAAGCTAAAAAACAAGAAACTGCCAATAATGATAATCGTGATGTTACACCTCCACCCACCTCACCACCAAGTGCCGATGAAAAATCACCCGTAGTTGTCAAGCCTAACTTTAAGGTATGTACTATATAATTACGAAATTTTCGATAAAAGTTAATATATTTTTTTTATTTATACATTAATTACACATGAAAATTTTTATTTTTCAGTTTTATCAAGATACGTTAGAGACGGATGAAGATAAAGAACATAAAGAGAGGGAGAATTCAGACGAAGAGATGAAGAAAGATAAAGAAGAAGCGGCGGACGATCAGAAAGAAAACAGGATATTCAAATCGGATATTGATGACGATGCTAGAAGTAACAGTAAGTTACATTATTCTTACGTACATATTATTGATATATAATTAATTTTATATTTTTGTATATAAATATGTTACTTTAAAAGAAAACATGTTGAAAATATTCTGTTACTTTTTAGCACCAACACCGGAAGCTGATGTGGAGGACAAGATATCCGATTCTCCAGAAGATATATCTTCCATGTCTGATTCAATGAAAAAGGACAATATTGGTTCTTATCCAGAAATACGATATGTTGATGGCCTGAGAAGCGTTCTGTTACTTCAAAAACGCAAAGGACCAAAGAAAGTATTAAAATGGAAAACAGACTTAGAATCGGTGCGTTATTTTGAGTTGGATGAAACGGAAAGGGTGAACGTAACGAAAACATTTACCGATATGAAACAAATGGAAAAGCAAAATGAAAGAGAAGCATTCCAAATGGCCAGAAAATTAAGTTAGTTTAAAAAATATAATTTTTTTTACTGCCAAAAATAATATTCTCTTGAGTATTAAAAAAAAATGACGAAAAATTTAATAAATGATAATATAAATTGATTTTGTAGGTAATGAAGACTTAATGGAAGAAAGAACGAGATGGAAACCCTTGATTCCAATTGATTTACCGCCACCTTTAGTAGAGGCTGGAAAGGATAGTAGAGAAAAAGATATTCAATATGCTAGAGAAAAAGGAATTTTACAAGCATTATACTTCAACCGAAGCATGTATGTGTATATTTTAAGCGATTGTTTTTTTTACTATAATAAAGTTTATTTATCAACATAAAGCTTTATTTATTAAAATAGAATTCAATACTATACATTGAAGTACACGAATATTAATTTATATATTATGTATAAAAATGATATGTATGCTATATTAAAAGCATAGAAACCTTAAACCATTTTAAACAGTTTAATATATAAATTGTAATATAAATTGAGTTCTACAAAATTTATTTATTTAAAAATATTTTTATTATAATTAAAAATATTTTATTATAATCAAATTCAATTGATATAAAAGTACTATATTTTACGTATATTTTGAATTTTAGGATTCCAGACTCTGCGGCAGAACCTGACGAAGAACGGCATCATGTATACAGTGAACCTAAAACCATTCCTTTGGACGATCTCACAGGAAATAAGGAAAGTGAAAAAGATTTTACTTCCATGCCATGGCCAGAACCAAAACCTCAGTTGCAACCTCAAACACCAGCAGTTTCAAATTTCCATTATCCGTCATTTCCACATAATCAACAGCCAGTAATGACATCTATGGGCCCTCAAAGTTCAATGGGCCCAATGCCACAAATATCTCAGCAAATGATGGGAGCTTCTCATATAGGCCCAATAGGTCCTGAAATGGGAGGTCCAATGACTGCTGGAGGAGGAGGCGGTTGGAGAACTGGAGATGGAAAAGTTGTTGTACCTGATGGAATGGGAATGAATATGCCAAATGCATTTCCACCAGGAATAGAAGGTGGTCCAATGGTACCACCTGGTATGATGGGACCACCACCTATGTATAATCAACAACAAGAAAGTTATGGTATGATGGGACCAGAAGATATGGGATTCAATAACATGAATCCAAATAATTTTCAAGGCCCCCCTGGTCCTTTATACGGTCCTGGGCCTAACTTTCAAGGTCCTAGAGGTGCTGGTCCAATGCATGGTAGAGGTAGAGGTGTTCCTGGACCTGGATGGTACAGAGGTGGTGGGGGTCCACCAGGAAGAGGTGGGTGGAGGGGTGGAGGCGGTGGATGGAGGGGAAACGGGAAGCAACCACCCGTATGCAGACAATTTTCAAAGAATGGCTATTGTCGAGTCGGTGACAAATGCCAATATCTACATCCCGGAGTAAACTGTCCACCATTTTGAAAATAATGATTTATTTGAAGTTTTTGCAGTATACAATATAAATGTTCATTCTATTTGAAATGAATCAATGGAAATGAACGGCCCTACTGAAATGATCAAATCATATTAGATCCAAGCTCACATTAATTAAAAGAATTAATAATAATGTGCAATCTTTTATTAATAATGCAAAGAATTGAGCACATGATATTTATACACTTACATTTTCATAAGATTTGAACGATATTCGATAATTTTCAATTTATTTACATCGCGTAATGAGAGATAAATATTATAAGAAAAGGCGTAATAAATTTATTTTTTGTTTATTCGTACTCTTACAATTTCAGGTTTGAAAATTGCTTTAAATTTCGAATAACAATGAAAAAAACAATAGGTTCATTAGCTGCTGGACAGCAAAAGGTTCTTAGATATTAACATTCATTACGATTTCAAATAGATATTTTTAAAAAATTCGAGGAAACGTCAACAATACGTTTATTTATTCTAGAACATAATAAAAATTGGAGCACATCATCTAAAATGAAATTTCGATTAACGTCTTCCCTTTATTTTCGTGATTTACAGATAGCCACTGCCGAAAGAATGATTTATATAATCAAAGGGATGGGATTGCTGTAAATTTTAATCTTATTGGCACGACGAATAGTGATTTCAAAGTATGATGCTATTAAGCAGGAAATGTGAATTCCGATTTAAGAAGCATTTGTCTTTCAAATTGCCAGTTGGGTGTTTAATCGCTTTCTATTAATGAATATATGTAATTAAAATGCTGTTAAAACAAATTAAACGTAATATACAATGGTATATTATAACACCAAAAGTTCAAATAACAATTTAAATAACTTTTTATTAAATTAATATCTTACATTTAATCGTGTATGTAGATTGATTGTAAATATCATAATTGTATCATTTTGTATAAAATGTCGCGAGCTCTAATAACAAGAGACTGTTTTAGGCTTAAATGGTATGTAATAATATAAAAGAACAACAATTTTTAGTAAAAATATGTACGTATGATTTGAAATAGTTAAATGCAGATCTGATGTTCATAGAGTACATTTTCATTTATAAGTTTGATTGTGTGCTCCATGAAATAGATCGCTGATATATTATATAGTAAATATTTTTTACGAATTAAGGGTAGTGGTTATTTTTTTGTATATGATTGATCGTTATGTTTATATGTAACATCGATTGTTGTATAAGAGCTGCTTGATGGAATATATGAGTCACACCTATTTTCTAAAATATGCTGCATTATTATATTAATTGAAAGACTTCCTTCATGACATATTTATATACATTTTCTACATTTATTTTTAAATGTTTTTGTTTTTTTCATTATTATATCGAATTATTTTTTTCACTATTATATCGAATTATTGTTTCTGTATTTATAATTATCTGTTTTATTGATATTATATATTTGTTCAAAATTGTTAACAATTGAAAATTTAAATAATTAGTTATTAATAATTTTATGATATTCATTGATATAATGTATTATATTCATTACATTGATTATATTCAATACATTGATATAATGTATTATATAATGTATTATATTGATATAATTTTATGATATTCATTGATATAATGTATTATATAAAGTTTAATTAAAAAAAAAGTATTAATATATATTTATTATACATATAATTAAATATACTTAACAAGTGTAATACATATATTAAGTTTATATCGTAATGTATTTAATTTTAATTAGATTAGTTATAATTTTCATGTTGGTCACTTATAAACATTTAAACATTTCACCAAGTACGGTATCAAAATTTAAATAATAATTATATAACGAATATTTAACTTAAATTTGAAATTAAATATTTCATTTAATTTAATATTGATCTAAATTTATTTAAATTGTTGAGGTGGAGGACCAAAAATACTTCCACTTTGTTTACTTGCAGTTCTAGAAGGTGCAAATCCAAGCATTTTTTGAATATTCTGCAACCAATAGTTTTTCTTATAAATAGTATTAGTAATAATAAAATCAAGTTAAACATAAAAAATATGAATTTACCTGTCTTATACTCATAGTGCATAGTATATACAAAAAAATAAATGAACATTCTGTATAGTCATCCCCTTGAAGATTTCTGTGTGATAATCCTTGTATCCAACCAAGTGGTACAAAAGGTAATTTTGCTACAACTCTACCATCAAAAATGCTATTAAACATACTTAAGAGAGCTGTAAATGCAAATCCAATTGCAAACATTGATTTCATTTTTACAAGAGACAAATCTCTATTATTATTCTTTAACCTTTCTTCTTCTCGTTCAATTTTCTTTTTCTGCTGTTTATCTAACGAATCTCCATGTGCTCCTTTTCTTTTTTCCACTAAAATTAATTTAATTTAAAAATAAAAATATAATTTATGAACATAATGACATTGCATTTTGTTTGCACATGTTTAACTTATCAATATTTCTTAATACAATTATTATTTAAAAACTTACATTTTTTACTTTGCTTTTCTACTTCAGCTTTTAATTTTTGGTATTTTTCTGTTCTATAAACCATCAACCATGTTAAACCTGTCAATAATATTAAAATTAATTAAGTTATATTTATAGAGGTTTATAGAAAAATAAATATAACCTTAAACTTAAAACAACAATATTTAAAATATTATTACCTTCTCCTAATAAAGCTGTACAAATACTAATAAATACAATTAAAATAGTGTCAGCCCACATGATACTAGAAAAAGTTCTTTGGATATTATTTAAACTATTCAGACATATAATCTGGGTATAGAAGACACCATGTCTGCTTTCAAACTTAAACAGTCGTGAATAGGAAAAAAATTAATCATTATCTCTTTTTATTATATGTGTATTTATGTTTACTATAAGAACTTAGAAAAATATTTTTTATTCATATAAAAATATATATAAAATTAAAAATCAAAAACACAATTTTGTTATAAAACTTTTATTTCATAATAAATATTTTTTGCATTATTTAAATTTTTTTTATAATTATTTGTTTTTAAAATTATATTGATAAATAGTAATTTATATGGAAGATATATATACACGATATGATAAAGTTATAGATCTTTTTTGTATAAAATGATTCTTAAATTATACAAAATCTTAAATATATTAAAAACTATTTTTATAAGTTAACTTAAATACTGGTATCATTAATTAGGATAGATAGAACATTTAATGGTTTTTGGTATTCCACTATTAGGGCTTAATAATATAAAACGAAATGGTTTCAGATACTAATTTCTGTTTTGGAATCTAGAGATATACAATTGACAACACTGTAATAATTTTGTTTTCCCACAAATGAGATATATGAATAGATTGCATCTTTTGGAACTTCATGTCCCATGTTCTGAAATACCAACATTAACTTGCTTTTTAGTTGCATTTTCCACCATAATGAAGGTAATCAGATAAATTTGCAAATTAACTTTCAGTAATTTTTTGTAAATCAAAAGTTCAAATTTTTGTTAGAGAAAAAAATTGTTTAAAATTTTGATCTATATAGCATATTCAAAAATCGTCGAAAGATGAGAGAATTGGTAGTCTATAAATTCATCAGCAATCGAAAAAAGACAAGCGGAGAAAAATAAGAATGATAATAGTTTGAATTCGTATAAAATTTTAATGCTAAAATATATCACTAAATCATTCATATTTTATGACATTTTTATTCATTCTCATGTCAAATTATTTGGACCCGACTTGTATTTTCCTTATATAGAAAATGTAAGGATAATAAAAAGTTACAAAGTGTAGTCTTATTACCAGTAATTTATAACAATAAATGATTTTGTATGCAAATCACTGAAGTCGTCTTAACAAATAATATCATACTATGAAAACAAACATATGTATATGGTATCATTTAAGAAAATGAATTTGATTTCCACTGAACAATCTGCAAAAAATAAATAATACACCACATAATGTGCTTCTTTATACTAAACTATATTTTTGATAGGTTTGATATTTTTTTACAAAATCAGGTTTACTGGATAAAGATATTCATAAATGATAAAATTATCATTTAAGATGTGAATCTATATACTAAAATAAGTAAAAATCGTCGTACCTAATTCATAAATATACGTCGTTAATAAATATATTTCAATCAATTTTTTCTAATATTTTTAAATAGATATAAATAATTAAATATATATTAAATTTTTTATCCTAATTTTCATTAACTGCTGTTCTAAATCATTATATTTTTTTTTTATTAACAAAGTCATCACGTTCAATTCAATACATACATAATTTTCGACCTAATAGTGTCAACATTTTTTGACTTTAATTATAGCACTGCGGTGCAAAATTTGTCTAAATTGGTACGACGGCTTGAGTCCTAGGACTTCACGAATATAAGATAAAACAAAACATTACATGTTATGTCCATCTATGTATCTCATTTGTAATTTTCCTAAACTAACTTATATCATTTTACTTGATATAATTCTCAAATTCTCTTATTATAGCGCATAGAGTGTGCTAAAAAACCAGTCATTCTTTCCTAGTCGATCTTCAGATCCTGAGACTCGTTTAATATCAAATTTATTCTATCTTTAATTAATGCCATTAACTATCTTTGAGAATTATTACATATACTAAAACAAAAAAACATATTCTTTACGATTAACATTGCATAAATATGCATCACATAATACTTTTGGTCATGTAACTAGTAAAAACATCCACACTGAACGCATGCAGAAAAACTTATGTAAATAAACAAAAATTTTTAACTTAATTTGCTACTATTAAGAATTCAAATAATATTTAAAGTATTTTTCGTAAAGGATATGCATATTACATTGTTATCAATCATAAAAATCTTCCATTTTCTTTTCTAACTGATTAGCATCAGAATCGGCATCGGCATCGGCATCGGCATCATCATCTTTTAAACATTTTCTAATTTCGAAACCTAACGCAGCACCTAATGGTGGTGGAACTGCATTACCAATTTGACGATGTTTGTCAACTATACTTCCGTAAAAACGAAAACAATCAAAGAAACCTTGTGATCTAGCACACTCTCTTACACTCACAACTCTGGTTTGTTCCGGATGTAGAACACGGCCCTATGGATAAATGATAGAATTTAATATTTATAAATGAAATTTCTAAAGTAGTACATACCTGTTTACCCATAGGTTCAGGATTAGTGATAGTAGTACCAAAAAATCCATCCCATTCTAATCTACCATATAAGCCCGCCCAATTACTATGACGATTTCCAGTATGAGGTAAACACCACGGGATTAAAGTATTATATTGTTTAGCCATTGGATCACATATTTTACCGACACTACAGCTACATACACCACGAAATGCACCAGTAGAACTTTTGCCTGCTTTCTCATCATGATACATATATTCTCTGTAATTTACAATAGAGAGATTATTTAGATTCTAGATTAATCATTTTATTCTAATATCTAAAAAATTTAATAAAGTTTTAACTAACTTACAATTTTTTTGAATATGTTCCATCAGATAAACGTACTATTATATTTGGTAGATCTCGCCAATCAGACCCACTTGCAGTTGGAACGTGTGCTATTCGCGCTTCAACAAGCGGAGTCATATCTTTGCAAATATGATCTCTTAATACTACATCGGGTTCTTTAGGCCTTACCTACACACAAATATATTGATATAAGAGAAAAAAATTTAATATTGACACTATAATTATTGCCTACTTTTGTAATTTTCATTAGAGGTCGACAAATGTTGTTAAGAATTAAGAATCACTGCAAATCATATGACGCCACAGTGGTACTACCAATCGTTATAATGTTAATATGTTTTATTTATATTTATTTACTTTTCTTTGAAAATAAGATATTGGTTCATCGTTATAAGCTATTTCTTCCTTATTCCATCCATTTCGTATATTAGGTAAGTCAGACATCGCATCACGAACTCTAACCATTCTATATGGTGCCGATTCTGTCCAATCACAATTTGATGAATACTATTAAAATAAAAAAAAAATATATATATATAACTTAACAGATAAATGTATTGATTTTTACATAAATTTAATTAATTTAGTCAATTACTTTTTTGTTATCAACAATAACGCTTAGTCGACAAGCCCGTTTGCTAAATACATGAATTGGTTCAGGATATTTTGGAAGGACTTCACCAGGTGCAGCAGCTAATATTATTAGCCTAAAAGTGAAGAATATATAAAATATATAAGCCAAAACGTTTAATAAATGTTTTTATACCGTCTTCTTGTTTGTGGAATGCCGTAGTTTCCAGCTTGCAAAATACCAAATGTACATTGATAACCCATTCGTACAAGGCATCTTAATGTTAATTTAAGTACCATACTTCGTTTAAAATATACGAAATTTCTAACATTTTCCATAATAAAAAATTTTGGTCTATAATAATCACAATAGGACAAACATGATACTACTAAAGAATTCTTAAATAATGAATATTGCCGTGAATTAAAACGATTCATGCCACTAAAACCTTGGCAAGGTGGACCACCGCACAATAATTCTACCTCCCCTTTCTGAGGCAAACGTTGTCCACTATTATCACAAAGATCACCCTACAATATATTTTATATCATATACATCGTATTTATTTTTAAATTCTGCATTGTTAGCTGAACTTACATTCATAACTTTCTGTAAAAGTATATTGCAATCTTCGCAAAATACTATTGTATTAGGATTATTGAGTCGATATGCACATGCGGCTGGTTCGTCTTTCTCAATTGCCCATCGATTATCAATAATACCAGCTTGTTGTAATCCGTCAGACAATCCTGTAATGTAAATTTCAATAGAAAAATTTTCAATATTTTACGTAATTCAATTTTAATTATTATACTAACCACCACAACCGGCAAAAACATCTAACGTCTTCAACTTTCTTGTTACTTTACGATAGTCTGTAGGTATGTAAGTTACTTTCTTATCACTATTCTCTAATTTTTTACTTTTGCACTTAGCTTTTCCTTTCCCTTTACTAGTTCCAAGTTTTCCAATGTTCATAGCATGATACGGTGGATCAACAAATGTTTTTTCTAAGGCGTTATATGCTTGAGAAAAATAAAAACGATTTGGCCCAGCAGCAGTCCATTCTTCTACAGATTGATCTAAATTTTCCAAATACGCTAGATAACATTTTCCGGCTACATCCGAAAATTTAACATCACAAACTGAAATGTTTGAATTCAGAAAATATATTAATTGACTTATATATTAACTTAAATAATTTTCAAATCTTTTAAATTCACCTTCATCACTCCAATATACCATATTAAGATCAACTTGTTGCATTAATGTAAGTCCTTTGTGTGTATTTTCTGGTCGATACATTTTATTTATTTTAATCCATATATCAGATGATGCAACTAATTTATTATTAGTAGTTGCATAGATTGAATTTATGTATCCAATATGAAATGGCTCTGGTGTATCATAATTTGGTCCCTTCACATCTGATAATTTTCGATAATATTCGGGATACATATCTTCATCTACCTTGCCCTTTTTCACTTTCAGAGAAAGATGATACGTAGATGTAAATTTATATTTTATAGCTGCTGGCATTAAAAATACAGCAGAATCAACTCTAAATTCTTCGTCCTTGTATTTTACCATACTGTATGTTACTTCTTTGCTGCTCTTCTCTTCTTTGCGGTCAAACACTTTTGGTGTATAATAACATTGCAATGTAGTAAAACGTATACAGGCAGGACAAAATCGATGACTGATTTCTTTTCGTGGACATTCAGGATCCGGAGTACAATCCTCAAAACGAGCTGTGCCGGGAGTATATGTTTTTTGATAAAAAAATACCTTTCCATCTTTATTTTGTATTTCATCTAATATATCTGTATTTCCTAAAATTTAATTAACTGTGTTTAAAACTGATCATTGTAATTTTTTAAGGAATAGATAATATAAATACCTAATTTACTCCAATCTTTCGGACAAGTTTTATAAATAACGATAGCTTTGGATTTAATTGAAGTAAAAGGAACATTATCACATTCATCAAGCAAGAATAATTCTAAAGGATCTGATGTTTCACCAAGTACAGTGTCACTACCTCTTCTGAACCAATTGGCATGACACATTTTTGCACCATTTTTATCTTCCCACATATAAATAACTTTAGCTACTTGTAATGGTACAGTAGGATCATTTGATTCAATTAAAACGCAATCGTTTGCTTTTATTTCTTCATCAACAACTATGACAGATTTATAAAATGTTCTTCGTCCATCATTTATAATTGGCTCTCCAACCCATGTAATTTCTTTTTCTACGTGTTTAAATTCTTTTAAAATCATTTTTTGAGTAATCTTCACATTTTCTACTGATGTATCATTAAAATCATCATCTTCTTGATCTGAATCATCTGCCTCCTATAATTAATTATATTTAATTATATTTAATATGCATTTATAAATATATATTGTTCTATATTAATGACACTGTTATTAAAATATTTTACTTGTATAGCCATGTTTGGACATCTACGTCTGTTACATGCTTGTTTATTTTTTCCAGATCCACCAAATTTAACCATATTTTTACAAGATGTACAAACTCCACAATCTGGCTGCTGACAAGTTTCACATACCCCACATCTTTGTCTTTTAGGTCTCTGTAATAATATATTGTACATTATACGTGTATAAAAAAAAAATATATATATATATACATGTATATAATGTATATAATGTATATAATGTATATAATGTATATA